ATTTTCTTCTGCTCTTCACTCAAATACTGCGCGAGATTCTGCAAAAGGCAACTTTTTTCTTCGAACAAAATCATCTCAATCACTGTGATAAATTCATCAGAAATCATCAAATTCCTGAAGAGTTTTCGTCAACTTCTTCGTATAAATCATCAATTTTCTGAGAAATCTGGAAAAATGCTCTGAATCTTTAGTTATTAGTCGAATTTCTTGCGAATTTTAGGATTATTTCCAGCAGTGTATCGCATTTTTTTGATGAGACGATAAGTTTTCAGTTGGACAACAAATTATTTTGAGTGACCGTATTGACTCTATCAAATCTTTAACGGAAACTAAGCGCATCGGAGAAAATACGAGAGACTTGTGTTGAGTAGAAAAAGTGACAAGTGCCGGCTGACCCGTTCACGAATCTGATAGCCCCTCTCCTTGTCCTTCAGATTGGCGTCGTATTGCTGCTGGAGACGCTGGATTTCCGTTTGCAATTGACTGATCATTAGGCGAAGTTCTTCATTTCTGAAAAATTGTCGAAATGAAATTAAAGGAAACGGACACGAAAATGTGCACTGGAACTGAAATTTTGTCAAATTTTGTCAAAATTGTCGAAACGAAATTAAAGGAAACGGAAACGAAAGCGGAAAATGTGTAAAAATTGTCGAAACGAAATTAAAGGAAACGGAAACAAAAAAAAATTGTCGAAACGAAATTAAAGGAAACGGAAACGAAAGCGGAAAATGGTCATCGGAACTGAAATTTTGTCAAAATTTTGTCAAATTTTTGCAAATTTTGTCAATTTCTGAAATTGTCAAAATGTGCATTGATGCATTTTTTCAAAAACGTTTTTTTTTCAAATTTTTCACATTTCGCTGCAAAATAACTGCCGGAAACAGAATCTCTCTCCGAACAATTTCCAAACACTGTGAGTGCTGCTGATAATTGTGGGAAATTTTTCATTACTGGACAGATGGAAAATTTGATTGCTTGAATTTTTTAATTGCCGATATTGCGCCCATCTGAATCACGCAATCGCTGTCAGCAGATGCCAGTGATTGTGGTCTCACTCACTTCCTGCGTTCGTCGTCCAAACGACTTGCGAGCTCGTATTCGGCGCCCATGTCCTTCACCTCTGGCGCCCAAGTTTCGCCTCCAACTTCGGTGATATTGAACGTGACCCGATCATCGGTGCGATGACTGGCGATTTGACTTTCAATGTCCGCAATACGACGTCGATACTCCTCCACCTGAATTTCTAGTTTTCACTATGAAGCCAAAAAATTTTTGCCAACGATAGATTTGAGTGGATCCAAGAAGCTAATGCAGAGGTGGTCCCCATAGGGGGGATCACCAATTTTTGTGTAATTTAGGGGTCTCAAGAGGTTACTGGAGTGAATCCGGGAATTAGTTCTTTCTGCCTGAAGTTTCGAGCTGATTGCATAGTTGCTGCCTGTGTGGAATCTGGCTAGCTGTTGCTGCCGGCGGCTTAGACTTACCTTTCGTTGAAGGCTGGCCATAACATCAGCATGTTCACGTTGC